TGGGAATGGGTCCCGGCGATCCTGGTGAAATAGTCGTCAAAGCACGGCCGGCCCGGCTGCTCCGACGGGCGCCTTGCCAGGAATCAGCAATGAACGTGGACCTCCTTTCAAACGAGCTCCCACCAGACGAGCACATAAAAACGGAATCCATGGTCAATTTTAACGAGGACTTCCGCGACATCGCAGTGCGGCGATGCACGAAGCTACAGCAGCTTACGCAAGGCTTGGCAGCCGATTTGATGGTTGGCCATGGTGGCGGTTAAATTGGTGTGGCCGTGAAAGCCATAATTGGTTGCCTAGTGCCACGAACAATTCCTTCTGTCGCCTCTTTTATTCGGTCACTTGCTGATGTCACCGCGGAAAATGTAATGCTGTTGCTGTTGAAAACAGTGTTTCACCCTTTAACCTGCAACTGGCAGGAGTGACAGCACTGAGGCCTCGCCTGTCCTCCGAGCGCGAGTGCGAAAAAAACCTTATGCTGGAAGTTCTTGCGCATACCTACTCAGGGGAGTGCGGGCCTGGCTGGCGATTCATTTCTGGAGTTGGTGGCCAGGGTTTGGATGTGTCGATGCTTCTGGCTGCTGGACTGTTAGGTCTGTTAGATGAAGATTTGTGAAGGTTGAAGGCTGTGGAGTGTCTCGGGGCCTTTCGGGATTCGGGCACAGGACGGCTACAGCGATCGGATTGCTCGTGTTGGCTTGACACATGTCAAAATCTGGGCCACGCCTCCGCCTCTCGAGCCTAAGCTGTGGAAACTCCGACCGGCAGGAAGCCTTTGTGCCAGAGCCGGCGCAGTTGCGCTGCAGTCGGCAGGTGGGCGCTGCGACGTTCAGATGAGTGAAGCATCGGCACGCTTTAATCTCAGCTAGGCGGTGATGCATTGCGGCAGTGGCTGCTAGAGCCACGGTAACTTCATATTGGTGCATGAGAGTCTTTTCCGTGACAAGCATGGAAAGGACTATGCACATGACCAGATAGATGGCATCGGAGCATGCGTTGTGTTGTCGGACGCACTCGTCTGGCTGTAGAAGTACTCACCTGCTTGGCAGCGCCAGCACGGCCACGACAACGTGTGCATGGTTCATGGCATGTCTATGATTTGTGCCAGGCTTTGTCGCCACAAAGCTTCGAGTGTCTGCAGGGCTGCCAGCTGGCAGGGTTGACACCACGAGGTAGGGTTTGCTGCGGGGCACTGGGGTCTCTGCTTTGCAACCGTGCTGAGTGCTCTCAGGTGGAAGTTGCCTCGAGGGAACGGCGGTGAAGCACGGTCAGGGCTGCACGGCTCAGTGTGCTGTCCCTCGTCTAAAGCATGCAATAAGCAGTCTTCAGTAAACGCTGAAGCCGTCCGGAGTCAATAGCCTCTGTCCCCATCCCCATTTTTTGAAGGGCATTGACCTAGGCGCCGAACAACCCCTTCCTTTCCCCCCTTTTCTCCACAAGAAGCTCTAAGTTAGGAAACCTGCAAGTTATAACTCCCACTCGTGCCAGGCCGCTAACAGCGGCATTCCAGAGTGACATCAGATTCCCAATTGATCGCCTTGAGGTCGGCTACGCGCCGTCGGTGCCTTTCCTGGCATGTAGCCGAGGCAATCTTACTATTCTTCTAGTGATAGGATGATGCGAAGCTGCTTCAAGAAGCAGTAAACGCGAGCTGGGCCGTGCAGGTAGGAGCCGCCGAGGGTCGTTGTCGCTTTTTCGCTCGTTACATCCTGGCAAGTTGCTGGTGAGCGCCTTTGTGATGATTCTTTACCAACCGGCAGGCCTGCTGACTCCCACGAGCTTCGACTGCCTGCGGGTTTGCAACGCTGTGATTGGCACCGTCCTCAGCTTTGGCCCTGAAGCGATCAATGTTTAAAGCCCCCACAAACTTCCGGATGCACAAGGCTTCGAGCTTCCGACAGGGAACCTGTAGGACCAGAAGTGGTGGAATGGTGCAACTGGCTCGAATCTACAGAGATCTCCACAGCCAGCTGCATCCCCAATTAGGAACCTTGGGCCCTGTTTCGCAGCTTGTGCTGTCAACCCAAGCTCCGAAGACCTTTGACAGGCACTGTGGCTCTCTACCCAGCGCTGTCCCTGGACTGGCCTGCTCCTGGGCCTTCTCATCCCACTCCTTGATGCCTGTTTGCTGATGGATCGTTGCTACGGACGCCACCGCAGGGCCACGGCCAATTTAGATTGTGGGCTGAGTGGAGTCTATGTCGAGTGTGTGGCAAGCGAACACGTGAGGGCCTGGGGTCACCTTTGGCGCGTGTGGAAGTCCAGGCATTCAGGCTTGGAAGTCCCATGAGCAAAGGAAGCAGCGCTCAACACATGCAAGGTTCTTTCGTTGCCGTTATCGTCTTTACTTGTTGTCCGTGTTGTGCAAGGGTCTCAACGTCACTTGCCCAGGCACCCACCACTGGTGAGCCAGCCTGCGCTGAGGGTGCCATGATCGAGTCCGGGGGTCAGTGCCGAGCCATTTGCAGCCACTTGGCACAGTCACAAAAGGGACCGGGATCTTGGCCCTAACAGCGCCCCATCGCCGAACTGCAACCTTCAGACCTGGAAGATGTCTGTGTAGGCAGGCCGCCGAGCCCTTTGTTAAGTTAGATTCACCGAGCTCATCACCCTTGGAGTGTTGCATACATTCGCAGTTTGCAAGTCGCAGCAGGCCTGGGCTACAAGCCAGACACGGAGCTGTTGGGATGCCAGGATGGAGACCTGACGCCGAGCACCTTCACATGTGCCTTCTCCACAGTCAGAGTTGCATGTTAATTAGTAGATCTGAGTTTCTCTGCATGAGAATGCATTGGCATGTGATGACATGGGTGGCTGTACAGTAAGGGTTTACCTGACGCGGCAGCTGCCTTTGAAACGGCATAAACCCCATCAGCTCGACCGCTGCTTCCATATCCGAGGCGAGGTTGTTCGGCCATGCTTTCTCGCCTCGGCTCCAAATGGTGCGTCGCCGCCATGCGCGGAAGGCAGTGTTTCGGGGGCTGGTACTAAACCTGGGATGTTTTGTCCGTGCTGGTTGCAAGTAGCTCCTCCAAGGCCGCACGCCTGTAGGGTCTGCACACAGATTGAAAGGTCACCTGCTCGTATATATACAGGGCTGCCAGGCACCAAGACCGCCTTCAAGCGTCTTCCTCCCGCGTTGCTCAGTCAACTGGCTAGGCTTTACAGTGCAGCACAATGCCACCTGCACGGCCAGCTGCCTGCCGGGTTTCCTGCCCAGCTTTGAGGACAAGCTCGAAGTTTCCACCCGAACGATTGAGGTTGCGCTTTGGGCTTAGTAAGCTACTATCAAGCTGATGCCTGCATGTTTATCCTCAGAGGAGCTACACTGCTGGGATGGCGTCCTGCACCTTGGCTACAGCCACGGCCTGGGTCTCTGAATCCTACAACGACTGCGGTCCTGGACCCTAAAGGCCCCGAAGGCCCTGATTAATGATACTGCAAGAGATAGGGGAGCCAAACGATGGATTTCTCCGGGCATTTTGGGTTTAGGGTTTGGGGTTTAGGGGTTTTGGGGTTTGGGGTTTAAGGGTTTGGGGTTTAGGGTTAGCCTGAAGTGTCCTGGAACTCTTCCCGCTCACTCTGCATCGGCCTTCAGGACCCCGCTCACCTTTACGTGTCTGCAGATGTGCTCTGCTCCAGTTCCGCCCTCGGCTGGGTACTTTCTTCAGAGTGGGGCCTGAGGTCATCATGTTCATTCGAGCTGTGGGATGGCATTCAATTTAGAATCTTATGCGGTTCGAGGAACTTCAAGAAGCTTTCCCTGCCCTGAATTACACAGGCTGTCGCCCAACGGCCACTTCAAGTACTTCGGACTAGGACACCGTTGAGATCGTGACTACATTTAAAAACAGATCCCGGACGCTGATCCAAACACAATCTGCAGAGCAACATGGTGTTCTCATCTGCTGCTGAGATAGATTCTGGTGCAGAGTGACAACAACAAGAGTGCATGAACGGCTATCATGCCTAGAAGCGGAAGACGCACTGCGACTTAGTACAAACTCGAAATCTAAATGGCAACGGCCAACATCTACTGACCCAGCAGTATCACTAACAGTGTAGCATCTGAGCACCATGATAGTCATATTGAGCCTTCTCACGTCGAGGCTGTGGCGAATGCTCCGCAGCCGTGCCTGGAGGCGAGGACAGATGTGTAATGCGTGGCAGGGTATGGAATATTTCCCACTGCACCAGCAATAAAGTATAAAGCCGTTTGACTGGTGCAAGACGAACGAGCACTGTAGAGTAATAGGTTTGTTGCGCTGGAACCCTTCGGACATGCCGGCGCACGGATGCGGTGCCGCGGGGGGTTACATGTGTGTACAAGGTGGCAGCTTCACAAAGCGAGCAAGCAAGAGTGCATAGCTTCAAAGGTACTGTTGTAGCATGTACCAGTAGACAATTGACAAGCCCAAGCGGCTCGCAGCGGCTCGCAGCTAGGATGTATAGGAGACTGGCTATGTAGCACTTCCAACCTTTGCAAGAAGCTTAGGATCGTTAAGAAGCAGCCGGTAGCGCCTAAGAGTGGTTGCTGAGATTTGACTCGTTTCTGGCGTGCTTCCCTGTCCATTTGCCGCAGTTTGGGCCTTGGGGCACTCGGGGGCCGGGCCTTCTTTCCAGGGGAACCTCTTGGCCCCGAGCGCGATCTGCACTGCTCAGTGTGCAGCATCTGGGAGTCGAATTGGCAGATTTAGGTTTTGGGGTTTAGGGTTTATAGCACTTAGGGGGAGTTGGGAAGCTGCTGACGTGCACTGGTGCCGGCCATAGGGCCAAGAGTCTGTTAAGCTCTTAGGTTAGAAGTATGGGCCCCTAATGTGGACCCTTAGGCCTTTGGAGGGACCCTTAAGGGTACATATAGGGTAGATAGTAGATAGTAGGTGTATAAGGATCCCAGGGTTAAGGGCCCATACTAGGGGCCCGTGGGTTCAACCTTAGAAAACCTGCCAGGAGGAAAAGCTTCCCACAGGTTGGCTAGCGCCCTTTGCTTGACATGCCCTTAAGTCCACTCTAACCATGAGGGCCTATCTCTGTTTCTGGTGCTTTTCTGTGCACTTGTGGCCGTCTCGACATGTAGGACCCCAAAATAAGGTGCCCCTCATTTTCGGAAACTCCCATGTGGTTGCTCTAAGGCTGGCTTTGCTCCGTCTGTGACCACGCTGACATGCTCCGAGTCTGGCTCCGGACTGCCGACGGCTCAGCCTTCCGTTTCGAGCTTGGGCTTAGCACTCTTCTCGTGGAGCCAGCAGTGTCAGGGAGAAGGAGGAGCGGCTGCTTGCGACTATATGGGCTGTGCGCTCGAATCGCCTTCTCTGTCGGAGGTTTACACCATTTGACTTCAGTTGCGGACGCACTTGCGATGCACCCCGGATCGAAGGACACCGGGCTGGTCGCAGCAAGGCTTTGCAGCATTTGTTTTTGAACTGGCGACTCGCATTTGTGGAGTTTTCTTCAGGGTCCAACCTCACCAGTGTCTCATTGTTTCGTACCCCTGAAGGACTTAATTAACGAAGCTGAAGCCTGGAGAGGATTCTTCCGCCGCTTGTAAGAAGCTTTGTCGATGATTCATGTCCGAATCGTTTGTAGCGACTTCAAAACCAGTTCCCTTTCATTGCGTGCCAACCTCGGGCTCCACCCGGCCCATCCCGTCCCCACCCTCTTCAAGGTCTGCCTGTCTAGTCCTGGACACATGCACACGCACATGCTTGTAAGCTGATCATCTTCCGACTCATCATGCAGTATCTTGGCAGTACCAGTATGGTGGCATGCACAAACGTCCAGAATTCAACTCCAATGCCCTCGACTCGGCACTTAAACGCAACCGAGCAGGAGCCCTATCGCCGGCGTGTGAGCAGCTGCCACTAAGGCCACAGTACTTCGATATTTATCGCTTTAGCATGCTTGAATGTAAACTACAAGTAGGCGTTACCTGCGACTGGTGACTGTCGTTTGGGCATTGCCGCTGCAGTCGTCATCATCATCATCATCATCAGCATCATCATCATCATCACCATGGCCGTCACCAACACTTTCGTCGTCGTCATCATCGACATCAGCATCACCCATCATCATCCTCATCATCATCATCATCATCATCATCATCATCATCTGCACCCGCATCCGCATCTGCATCCTCGTCAGTACCGCCATCGTCATCGCCATCATCACCAACATCATCATCATCATCATCATAATCATCATCATCGTCATGTTATTTCTACGGTGATCATATTCATTGTCATCATTTTGATTGGTAATCTTTCTGATCTTCATCGTCGTCGCAACAGGCACCACGAGAGCAATGATCACGCCGTGACGGTCATGAGTAGGGCTGCAGCAAGCAAGCACAGTAGAGAATGGCGCCGCCGGACATTGATGAGAGGAGGAACAATACGACGACACTGGGTACCCATAGCCGCAACACTGTTCGTAGCATCGTAGCAGCCATAGTGAAGAGGATTGGAATGTCCACTTTCAAAGACATGACATGACCGTCTGGATGCTAGAGCTAGCGTGGCAGTCACTATGATGTCTGTATGCCTTGACTGATGTGACGACCCTGAGTGTGGTGATGACGTGCATGATGAGGAGGACGATGGGAATGCAAATGAGGACGAGGACGTTCAGCAGATGACTATGACATGGCGATGCAGATGTTGGTGACGGCAGCGACAGCGAGCACGAGGCTATGGTGCTCGTAGCGACCACAACTACATAAGACCATGAGGGCGACGACGGCGACGACGACAGCGGCAACGATGGTGTCCGTGGCAAAGACTGAAACCGGGAGTTTGACCATCATGGTCACGTTGCGACCACAACGTTAGCGAGATATCGTGTCTCTTGGCCACTGCCAGCACGAGGACGATGATGATGATGATGATGATGACGATGATGATGGGGTCCATTGCAGTCATCGTCAGTATCGCCGTCATCATCGTCATCAGCCTCATTGTCGTTTTTGCTGTTGGTTACTGACAGGGCTGCGGCCGTTGTTGTCGCTGTCGCCGTGATCATAACCATGATCGTCGTCATCATCATCGTCATTATATTCATCTTTCGCAGCAGGTCGCCAGCATCAGCATTCGAATAATCATGGCCTTCGTCATCTAAAGCATCGCTCCAGTGCCATCCTACACATCCGCAACTCAGAGTCTTCACCAGGTATCATCTCCAGCGATGGGATCATCACCACAGCACCGGCGCAGCAGCATCATCAGCAGCGTAGTCGTCGCCAATGGCATCATCACTGCCTGTCTCCTCATCAGCATCACCATCGTCGTCAACCTGGTCACGGTCCTTGTTGACATCACCGGACCAATACAGTCAAAGTCCATCCTCATCAGCATAAAGCAGCTTTATCAACATCACTGTGAACATGACCATGATTCGCATCACCAACATCCTCTCATCATCACCATCATCATCATCATCGCTGTCACTGTCATCGCCATCACCAGTTTTCCTCCATCGCCACAACCACCACCAGCACCATCATGGCCATCATCAGCAGCAGTTTGTCCAGTGTGTCATTGTAGAGGACATGGTTCTGAGGACCACGGGCAGTGTTAGGTTCTGCATGGGCTGTCTTGCCTGTACTAACCGCGATGCTGCAAGGTCCGAGTTCGGTGCACATTCGTAGGTCGCTCCAATCCTGGCCGTGCGCAGGCACAGTCAAAGCTGCAGCTTCCGTTGCCCTGCAGGGACAAGCAGCGAGGGAGAGGACAGGGCAGGGATTGTGACAGTATTTGCAAGCCGAAATCTCGATTTCAGTCCGAAGGAAGCTGGAAAGTCGATCAAACATAAGGCTGAAACAATCGCCCTGCTGTATTAAGGTAATTTGAGCATGCCAGGGCCGTGATCAGGGTGGTGATGCCGTCTGCAAGGGCATCCAAGATCCAGCGTCCGCACCATGCGTGTGCAGCCGGGATGCACTGTCGCAGGTACTCTGCAATGATGGGACCCTCGTCTATGTGGGGGCAGTCTCCTGCAGAGCCTTCTTTGCAGGCAGTAATCCTTCTAGGCTCCGCAGCATCTCCGACGATGCGGGGTGGACTCCTTGCAAGTCGGCAAGTATGGTGTCACAGCGGCTCATGGATCCCATCTCATCCCAGCCGGCACCCTATCCAGGATTGAACTGCCAAAGCTCCGAGAACGTTGTCGGTGCTCTGAACCCTTCGTGTCAAGAAGGCAGGGTGGATTTGGAGCCCTGTGAATCGATGCAGAGGTTTCCGCGCCTACTGCAGGAAGCAGGAAAGTTGTGGCTCTGGTTTTGACCAAACAGTCGGTCTAACCGATCTGAAATCGGATGGCCTTCTAACCTCGAGCCCCGAGTGCATGCGTGTAAACCCTCTAGCCGCTCGTCCCAAACCCCTCATGCCACCAGACATTGGTAGTTTGGTATCCTGAGCCTATACTAGAGGCTACTTATTGGGGAGTTTCAAGAGAAGAGCTGGCTCTGACAAATTGCCTAATTCCTTCCAGGGGCAGCCGTGCCTCACAGTGGCACTTGCAACCCCGTCTGCACACTGGGAGCCACAGCCGTCTCCCCGCCAGCTTTGTCCAGTTGGACTTGGAGGTTGAAAAATTGGCGATGAAGGGTCAACAAGGGTCTTTGGAGGGTCGGGCTTCGCAGTCTTCCGGCTCAACTCTGAACGGAAAGCCTGCATGGATTAGGGATTGCTGCATGGAGTCCATAGCTTTCATGGTTCTGGTGTCTGGGATGGAGGTGCAGGGTGCACTTACCTCAACTACACCTACAACAACAGCAACAGCAGCAACAACAACAGCAACAGCAACAGCAACAACAACTCTCTCGGCTCTGACTTTTTGTTCGGTATTTTTTCAGTTGTTTTGGGTATGTTGGTCCTGTTATTCTTGGTGTATCTTGGCGTAGGAATTTCTAAGATTGTGCAGCTTGCCAGCATTTTATCGTTTTTCATGGACATTTCCGAGGATTTCCTTGGCAATTCGAGGATTTCTATTGATTTCACAGGACTTTGTGAAACTTCTTAGGTTTTGCTGTAATTAAGCTTGCGTGGGATTTACTGCGATTCCGTCGGATTTGAGAAGCTTTCATAGGATTTCACAGGAGTTTCGCAGGACTGTGAAATATCTTAGGTTTTGCTGCAGTTAAGCTTGGTGTAGTTAAGCTTGCCTAGGATTTCCTGCGACTCTGTAGGATTTGACAAGCTATCATAGGATTTCACGGGAGTTTCGCAAGAATTTCTAGGACTTCTTGAGACTTGCTGTGAATACGTCGGGGTTCAGAAGGTTTTCAAAAATTGG